GTTTTTTTGAAATAGAATTTTTAAAAGTAGCTCTAGACAACTTCAATTGTTCTAAGGTATCAACCCCATGTGGCAGCCGAGCTGATTTATTTCAACGGTATTATTGTCCTGGACTCTCTAATCTGTAACCTTGTGGCTCTATGGAAAGCTATCCAAACAATTAACCTTTCTTGCCATCCAGTAAAGATCCAGTAAAACTAGAAGTAAATAAATAATGGCTTATGATTACAACATGAATATGTAATAACTAGCAGCCATGTTCCATAAAGGATACCATATGCTTCTAACTATAATGTGACCTACTTACAATCTAGGCCAAAAATATAACTGGCCCTGCACACACACACCAGTGGTGGGTTTCAAAATTTTTTACTATCGGTTCTGTGGGTGTGTCTTGCTGGGCATGACAGGGGAAGGATACTATAAAATCTCTATTCCCACCCCACTCCAGGGGAAGGTTACTACAAAATCCCCATTTCCTCCCAATCAAATGGGACTTGGGAGGCAGAGAATAGATGAGGGCGGGGCCAGTCAGAATTTTTACTACCGGTTCTCGGAACTACTCAAAATTTCTATTCAAAACTTCTGGTGCTCCAGAGCTGGTCAGAACCTGCTGAAACCCACCTCTCTCTCTCTCTCTCTCTCTCTCTCTCTCTCTCTCTCACACACACACACACACACACACACACACACACACACACACACACTAAACTGCCTAAAGGTGTGTAAGGATACACTGCTCACCAGCAGATACCCCAGATGGGTTGAGATTTCAGCTGAAGAACTGAGTGGTTTCTCTGAATGGAAGATGGAGGCTGGCATGGCCTTACCTGCCTATTCTTTCCCATCAATGCTTGTAACAGGAAGCGATGAGACAGGAAAGGAGAAATGTGTAATAATCCCAGAACATGAAGGGAAGATGCTGTACCTACTTTGGCCAGCAAGGTCAGGGCTGCCAAACTTATCCATAATCTAACTAAATAGAAGGAAATTAACCCTGTGATGCTAGAGCAGAAGATGTTCTGCAGACAGAACAATTATTATTATGTTTGGTCGCACAGTCATCCATATGTTTAGACTGGATTTGGTATTCTTATCTGTCTATCAAGTCCTTCCCAAGGACTTGGGATAAGCAGATGTTGCTTTCTTTTGCCACAGTTGTTTTACCACTATTTGCAGGTTTTTAATTTTGCAATTTTCTCCATTTCTTTCTCTTTATTCTGCTGTCTCCAGGTACAGCAGTGTTCACTATCTAGACTTTTTTTTTTTGTCTTATCAGGCTTATTTTGAAGTACAAGTAGTCCTCAACTTATGATCACAGTTGAGCCCAAATTTTATGTTGTTAAGTGAAACATTTGTTAAGTGATTTTGTCCCATTTTACGACCTTTCTTGCCACAGTTGTTAAGTGAATCACTGCAGTTGTTCAGTTAGTAACCCGGTTGTTAAGTGAATCTGGTTTCCCCATTGACTTTGCTTGTCAAAAGGTCGCAAAAGAGGATCACATGACCTTGAGACGTAGCAACGGTCATAAATATGAGCCAGTTGCCAGCATATGAATTTTGATCACATGATCATGGAGATGCTGTGAAGGTTGTAACTTTGAAAAACGGTCATAAGTCACGTTTTTCAGTGCTGTTGTAACGGTCACTAAATGAAATGTAATTGGTTATTATTATCTGTTCACAACACTGTGAAGCCCCAGCTACCAATTATTTAGCTGCTGTTGGCCTTCATACACATAGAGTTCTTCCCAAGAACCTAGGCTGTCTTAATGTGAATCCAAGCAGTGTGGCTTTTTGCAGTTGACAGATGGAAATTTTGTCAGTGCGCATATTTTTTAAATGCCATTTAAGAGTTTGAACGGAGGGACCACGATGACTGTTTTATATCTTTCAACGGTTTTTATAAATTGACACTTTCTGAGCAATGCTTTATCCAATCCAATACTTTGTCTTCTATTATTCTCTGGTATTGCCACATCAAATATCCATACTTTCTTTTCAACCACAGTTATATTTGGTCTATTATGAGCCAAGATTTTATCCAGGGGTCCTCAAACTTGGCAGCTTTAAGACTTGTGGACTTCAACTTCCAGAATTCTGGGAGTTGAAGTCCTCAAGTCTTAAAGCTGCCAAGTTTTAAGACCTCTGATTTTATCAATCTGTATATTGGAAAACTCACAATATTTTAGTTTGCTCATTTTCTACTACTTTTTCATCTATATGTTCCCACCAATTTTTCATTAATGGTGCATGACAATTTTACAGATGTTCCAGTGAATTATTTTGGCGACTGTGTTACGTCATTGCTTATAATCAGTTTGTGCAATCTTCTTGCATGAGATAATCTACCTGGGGGTGGGGGTGGGATGGATGGTTCTGCTTCTTTGCACAATCTGCATTTTGAATCATTTGACAATTTTTCAATTCTGGCCTTGATTTATTCATTCATTCATTTATTTATTTATTTATTTATTTATTTTTGAATTTGTATACCGCCCTTCTCCCTAAGGACTTAGGGCGGTGTACAGCCACGTAAAAACATAGACTACAAATATTAAAATACCATTAAAAGATATATATAAATTTGGCCCCATAATTAAAAACAGAACAAACCAATTAAAACATTTAAAAAGTGTTAGGCCAGCCCAGCTTGCTGGAAAAAGAAAGTTTTAAGGGCACGGCGGAAGGCACCGAGGTTGCATTTGATTGCATTTGTTCAAATACATTCCTCTTGAGCAGCCCAAATTAAGCCTTTATTATTCGTTTATTTGCAATGGTGGAGATGTGCAGAGGTGAAAAACTCTTATTTCTCCTGTCCCTCTAAATCCTGATCTCCAGCTTTCTGAGCACGTTCTTTATCAGGGAGGAGACCTTATTTCGCATGGATGAAACAGAGAAGAATTCTAATCTATCTTCCCTCCCTGTTTTTCTAGTAGGGGACCAGCAGCTGCACCAAAAGCTAGACTGCCTAGTTTTTAAACTGCTGTTTATTTCCTGCTGTGTACTGTGGGAATGTTGTTTACTCTGGTACAGTAGAAACAGTACTGGTGTGGAGGTGTCTTTATATTGTGTTCCTGCAACCTAAAAATACACATTTTCTTTAGAACTTTATCATCTCTTTCTATCCTATTTTCATTGCCCAGACAGTGAACAGGTCATGACTAGAGGCAATAAGAAAACTGTCTTGTTGAATGATGACTAGAATATCAGTCAGTTCTGTAATTTATTATGCCCAAAGATCAGCACTGGGATTTTGAAGACAGGGTGACTATTGTAACTAGATCCCTTCCGTCCATTATGAAAGCTCATATATGTTGTTTGCAAAGAGTAAAAAAAATGGAAACAGGAAAAGGAGAGAGTGCTAGCAATTTATTTCATTATTATGTGATTGAGATAGATTTGGTCCACTTCTAGAAGTTAGTGTGTTCTATTTTGGAAAGATTAGGGTCTAGAGATTCAGTCCTGTGCTGAAGGGCCATGTGTTAATGATCTCAATAGAAAAGGAGTTGTCCCAATTGATTTCCTCATAAAATAGCTGTAGTGACAAAGAATACACACTTTCTTATGTTCATATAGTTAAATATATCACGGGCTCAGGATTAACTCAGCCTTCCATCCTTCCGAGGTGGGTAAAATGAGGACCCACCTCAGAAGGATTGTTGGGGGCAATTTGCTGACTCTGTGAACCGCTTAGAGAGAGCTGGAAAGCCCTGTGAAGTGGTATATAAGTCTAAGTGCTATTGCAATATGAAAACACATACAGAGTCCAGGGGTGAAATCCAGCAGGTTCTGACAGAGTCTGGAGAATCGGTATCAGAAATTTTGAGCAGTTTGGAGAACCGGCAGCGGAAATTTTGAGTAGTTCAGAGAACCGGCAAATACCACCTCTGGCTGGCCCCAGAGTGGGGTGGGAATGGACATTTTGCAATATCCTTCCCCCCGGAGTGGGGAGGGAATGGGGATTTTGCAGTATCCTTCCCATGCCACGCCCACCAAGTGACACCATGCCCACCAAGCCATGCCCACAGAACCGGTAGTAAAATTTTTTGGATTTCACCACTGATCCAGACATATACACAGATACGCAGTTTGGCCTAGAAAAGCAATGATCTTTGGGCAACCATGTGTTTTAAGACTAAGTAGAGAAGCTGTTTGCTAAGCTTTCAAAATATTCAACCATTTTGACACAAAATTTAAAAATTGAAATGACACTTAATCCTTATGTCAGGGTCCTTTGATCCAGACTCTAAGCAGCCAGATTACAGTTCCAAATTACTGATTTTGCAAGACACTGCTTAATTTTTTTTGGAAATATTTTTTTCACCCCCCACCCCACCCTTTCTATAATTGACACAAACCCACCATTTCCATCACTCTCAGATCAGCTTTTCTTGGCTTCGGATCTCTAGAAATGATATAATATCCTTTTATACTCCAAAACATCTAACACACTGTTCCAACAGCTGAAATCATTTTTTTTTTTTTGGTGTTATTGTTGTTGTGGTTTGGTCTTGCATTTTTAAGATCATATTCAGCTGAATAATGTAAGGGTTTTGGTATTTCATCTACAGAAATTTGTAATGAGATGACGCTCTTGAGTATTGAGATGGAGAACTGAAATAAAGGACCAGGGCACAGTTCTATGTTTTGCGATAAAACAAACAAACAAACCTGCCTCTGATTGGAATCTAATGATGTACCTCCATGAGCACATTTGAAAATTGAGCTACTGAAAGTTGAAAATACCAATTTATGTTTCATTTTTAAAACTGAGTTGGAGCCCTATATATGTTTAAAGATAAGGGTCCAGGAAAGAATTCAGCTAAATTTAGCTAAATACTGTAGCTAAAGTAAGACCGTTAAAAGATTGGGCTATAATAACAAATTCCACTTTTTAAAAACCTCCATATTCATTTCTTGTTTTCCTTGACTGTACTCTCATAACTTTTGCTTCTAAACTCTTACAGTGATTTTTTGTTATTTTCCAGCTTCCTCCCCTTCGTTATCAAATCTCCATCTTTACTTCCGATTATGATTGATCTGCCAATCACCTGCTTCCTTCCGTTTTTCCAGCTGCTTCAACAAATGCCACCTATAATGTATCTTAATGCTGCTCACTGTCAATGTTCTTTTCCCGACGCAGGTAAGAAATCTTATGTTTTTTATTTGTCTCAAGTTGGAGCATTATTTAACTTGTCACTGAAACAAGAGTCAGACTTTTGTCTGCAAATGCTGCTTGTCGTGACCTCATCTTAGCTGATGTTTCTCAATTACAGACTTTGCGACAATTAGTGCTGCAATATCTGATGTGAAGATTGATACAACATAGAGCTTTTTTAAATGAAAAAGAGCTGAGTAATTAAGTGAAAACTTTTCAGTTCCACCTCTACACTACAAATAACCCAGATATTTTAGAATCTCATTATTGTTTGTTTCATTGCTGTTCATTATGGTTCAAGAGTGCATTGCTAAATGGGCTTCTTCAGTTTGACTGTTCTTAAAGTAATGGTTTATTCTGATATTTGTGTCATTTTTAAACAGCTGCGTATAAAAAATAGGAACAACTGGCCAAATAACAATAATGCAATTTATTCTATAATTAAGTTTGTTTACCTTTAAAAACAACTTTAACTCTGTGCTTTCATGAAAATTTAACTGGAAAGGTCAGTATTCAAAACTAAATAAATAGTTTGTTTCAAAGGTGAGTAAAGGTAAAGGTTCCCCTCGTACATATGTGCTAGTCGTTCCCAACGCTAGGGAGCGGTGGTCATCTCTGTTTCAAAGCAGAAGAGCCAGTGCTGTCCGAAGACGTCTCTGTGGTCATGTGGCCGGCATGACTAAATGCCAAAGGTGCATGGAACGCTGTTACCTTCCCACCAAAGATGGTCCCTATTTTTCTGCTTGCATTTTTTACGTGCTTTCGAATTGCTAGGTTGGCAGAAGTTGGGACAAGTAACGGGAGCTCACCCCATTACGTGGCACTAGGGATTCGAGCCGCTGAACTGCCGAAAATGATGGGGGAAGTGCATATAGAAATTCACCCACTTACACTTTAATGGGCCTTACTGATACCAAGAAACACATTTTCATTTTTCTTAAGACACACTCTTATTTCCCCTGACTTGAAAGCTTTAAAGTTAGATGTAAGTTGAGATCTTTCTATCAAAAAGAGCCAGAGTTGTAGGCTGATAAAAGTTTTTTTGAAAAAAAATACAGTCAAGAGATACCTAACTGGCTTGATCTGATTATCCGTGGAGCCAGATTTTGTTTTTTGAGTTTTTTTTTAAATAATAGGCCAGTCAGTCTTTTGATTTTCTTTCTCCAGCATGCAGTCTTCTGTAGAATTTATGGCAGAGTTGAATTGAAGTGTCCTTGGTGCTCTCTGAGCTGAGTTGTTTTCTTGGAGACCTTTCATTACCCAAACTAGGTAGTGTTGGTAAGGAGTATACTTTGATGTCAATTTGTATTCTAGTGGCCTGTCTGTCAGTGTTGATGGGGATGGTCTTAGAAATTCTTTGGTTGACCATCCCCACCAACACTGACAAGCAAACCACTAGAATATAAATTGAGAACAAGCCCCACTCCTTAATAGCACTGATGATGTTGCCTAGTTTGGGTAATGAAACGTCTGCAAGAAAATAACCCAGCTCAGAGAGCACCAAGTCTCCTTCATGTCAACCCCGAGCTACAAATATTCTCCTTTATTAGAGTTTGCTTGATTTCATTGTATGGAGGACTGTTTCACCCCAGAATCTCTAAAGCATGCCACAGTGTTGCTTGTAAGAAATAGGGATTCCTTGGGATAATATGCACATTACAATGTTGAAAACATGTCTTACATTTAATATCCAACCTGTTGTCAATCAAAATCAAAATTAAAAAGTCCAGCAAGTGACTGAAACTCTTTAAATCCAGCAACATTCAGTAGGCCAGTCAGTCATACTGAATATTCAGTGTTTTAACATGTATTGATGTTAAAGGACGTGGAATTTCAGTGTTGTCTTTCAACTTTCAGCACAAATCCTTAGTGAATTTTTGTAGAACAGGGAAGCCCTGAGTTGAGTTTTCAGCAAGCCTGCATGTGTGTAAAATATTTTGATCACCAGGTTATTTGAGCTTTAGGTTCTGCAGAATAGCGTTTTATTTTTATGTCACAACAAATGGTCTGTCTTGCACATTGGCAAAAAAAAATCAAAACATAAAATACAAATTAGATGGACATGACCTTGTAGATGACCCTCACTCTGTCAAGGACCTTAGAGTACTCATTTCTAAAGATCTAAGTGCCCGAGCCCACTAAGTGCCCGAGCCCAACACATTGCCAAAAAGGCATTAAGAGTTCTTAATCTAATCTTGCGTAGCTTCTTCTCTGGTAATGTTGTACTACTAACTAGAGCATACAAAACATTTGCTAGACCAATTCTCGAATACAGCTCATCTGTCTGGAACCCGCACTGCATATTGGACATTAATACAATCGAGAGAGTCCAGAGATATTTTACGAGAAGAGTCCTCCATTCCTCTAACCGCAATAAAATACCTTATGCCACCAGACTTCAAATTTTGGGCTTAGACAACTTAGAACTACGCCAACTTCAGTCTGACCTAAGCATAGTACATAAAATTATCTGCCACAATGTCCTTCCTGTTAATGACTACTTCAGCTTCAACCACAACAATACAGGAGCAAATAATAGATACAAACTCAAGGTAAACCATTCCAAACTCAATTGCAGAAAAATTGTGTTTGCCCTGTTTAAACAAGGTGAGGAGTATTGCACACCACACAAGAGCCTAATTTTAGCATGGTAGTTTGTTTCAAATACATCTGGAATCACTATCCTCTGTTCCTGAAATCCTTCCCCCTTTGTCCCAACGCTTTGTGTTGGGTTTTTTTTTTTTTAAATATTCTGTGAGGTCCAAAAATGTGCAAAATACTGCAGTGTAAATTTATGATATATTATGGTCAATATATTGTATTCCGGTACAGAGTTAAAGCCAGGTCAGTAGAACATCTGTGAAAAAGACATTAAAATTATATGGAAGCAGAGAACTGAGTTTTCCTGATCACTAGAACACATATGAAGAAAAAAGAGTAACCTCTATATGGTTTATTAGTAATATTCCACATATACGATAGAGTTAATTCATTCTCAAGATATAGATATATTGTATATGTTTGAGGATCAGAACAGAACTATGAGAAGATAGGACTGGCTTTTATATTGTGTTGTAAGATTAAGCTGCAAATCTTCATGTCAAGCAAAATTGAGGTCAGGCAGTGCCACGGTATATAGTACGAAGTATTTTCTCCGCACTTCCATTCTAGAATATAAAGGAAAAGCAGTCTTTTTCCACCAGATGGCAGCAGAACATTCTGTAAGCTCAGCTGCCTCTTCCAGGCTAACAGAAGTAAAAGTTTTTACACAGTGAAGTAAAAAAACAAACCAAAAACACCAAAGGGTGATCAAAGAAGCAATGTACAAAATGGTAAAGGTTTGGAAAAAGAAATTGTTTCCTTTTTGGAGCCAGTTTCTGGATCCGTGTTTCCTTACTTGTTTCATATCAATAACTTAAATAGTTATTATTTTCCATCAATAGTAATCCCAACACAATTCAAAACAATTTATCTGAAGTATCTGAAAGTTGGCCTCAGTGAAATCAGTGGTGGATTTCTTAGGTTGCAAGTATTACCAAAATCATACACAAGTCACAGATTTAATAGGGCGTAGATGTCTGTCGGTAGCCAATATTTTTCCTTACCGTAGAAAATCTGTTGAAGAAAATATGGACCCACAGCATGACTTGACTGATGTTGCGTGGAGCCCCGTGTCAGGAAAGAGCTTTGTCATTATATTTTGAGGGCGACTAGCTTCTTCACCAGATATGATTGTGGCCCATAAAGCTTTTCTGATGAGGTAGGAACAGTTCTTAACGTATATTGACTGATCTCAGGATGTCAGCCCTGGTTAGTGCTTGGCTAGATCACAGCATCTGTAATGGTCCCAAGGAAACTGCACAGATACAGTCACTAGGAGGCAAATGCGACTTGAGGGTGTCTTTATTTATTTTATTTTATTTTATTTTATTTTATTTTATTTTATTTTATTTTATTTTATTTTATTTTATTTTATTTTATTGGTTTAATTTATATGCTGCCCTTCTCCAGAGACTCAGGGTGGCTTACAATGCGTTAAGCGATAGCCTTCATACTTTTGTATATACCTGCTTAGTAGGGCTTTCGCCCCCCCCCCCAAGTGGTGTTCTTTTTTTATACAAAGTCAGCTTATTGCCCCCACAATCCGGGTCCTCATTTTACCTACCTCGAAAGGATGGAAGGCTGAGTCAACCTTGAGCCTGGTGAGATTCGAACTTGCAGTAATTGCAGGCAGCTGGTGTTGCTTAATAGCACTGTACAGCACTTTAATCTGCTGCGCCACCAAGGCTCTTGTTTATTATTATTCAGCTGTACCCACTGTGTTACAATAGTCAGGTTCCTACCATTCTTAAACAGGATCTACGGAAAATGAAAACTTTAAATCTAGAAATTATCAGGCAGGGCAATTCACAACTGATAATGTTAGGGCTATTGTTAGCAACTAAACAATACAGGTAGTTCTCGACTTACGACCACAATTGAGCCCAAACTATCTGTGGCTAAGCAAGATATTTGCTAAGCGAGTTTTTGCCCCATTTTACGACCTTTATTGCCACAATTGTTAAGCGAATCACTGCAGGTGTTAAATTAATAACATGGTTGTTAAGTGAATCTGGCTTCCGTATTGTCTTTGCTGGTCAGAAGATCACAAAAGGTGATCACATGATCCTGGGACACTGCAACTGTCATAAATATGAGTCAGTTGCCAAGCATCTGGATTTTGATCACGTGACCACGAGGATGCTGCTCTGGTTGCAAGTGTGAAAAATGGTCATAAGTCACATTTTTTCAGAGCCCTTTTAACTTGGAATGGTCATTAAATGAGCTGTTGTAACTTGAGGACTACCTATATTCACAGCATTCAATTAGGAATCACACATGAACCAAGGTATGGTATATTGTTTGATAAGTGCTATATTGCTTATTCAAATGAGGCTGAAGGTGTTTGGAGAATATATATATAAAGAATTGTCCTAAAGATGGGA